CTCACACCATCTGCACACAGCGGTAAAGAAGAGCCTTACTATTACCATATATCAATATGAAAGTAAACTGCCATTGTAAAGCACCATGAGCGTGGTTACACCATAATCTACACAGTGCTTTATAAGTAGCCTACATTTTTTTCTTTGCTTTGTGACTCAATAGTACGAGCCAGTTGTCAAAGATTCAAACCCTGGACTTCCATCACCCGAGGAGAGGGACAAGACACTAAACCCCCATAACCTAGGACCATCTTCTCAGAAATTAGAAAATCATTTCTTACATTTCCACTTTGGTTATTGACAAAATCCTGGAACATCATTTGAAATTATTCATTTAATTAACATTTAAACATTAACATAGGCGCAACTCGTTTAACTCTCTATTTTGCACGCAGTAAAGACTTAGTCAAACCGTGTATCTCCCTAACCGTGTATGTTGCTGTTAATTTTGAGACGGAAAACGAGTAAGTCTGATTTTATAGATTCTAAACAAAATTTAGCCTTTAAAATGACATAATTATTCAAAACTAACATCCTATTATTGTCAGAATTGAAAATACAATAATACTAATACGTCGGTAAAAATAACATGTATACAGTTTTTTGTGTTTATTTCAAAAGTAGTGTTTCAGGACTTAAACGGTTTGCGACTCTCACCGTCGATATGTAATTTCAAAGCTACAATGATTTCCCTTAACAAAACACCTTATCATCGCTGTCGCAAGAAAAAAAAATAAATCCCATCTCATCCAATATTACATGGAGAGCAAAAATTGTAAGAGTTTCATTTTTCTTGCGAGATCGACGACATGACAGGAACAAAATTTCCCTGCAGCAAAAAAGGAATGCTGACAATCTAATACTAATATATGTATTCAAGTTCAATGAAATTGGCGAATGATTAAGCTGCCTAACATTTGGAAAGAAAACTGAGTATTTAACAAAAGCGTGTTTTGTCACAGATTTGGAAAGAGACTTTCCGAGCTACAGGCCTATATTCTGTTTTCAAATAGTGCTATTTTAATAGTATTTATGAACCTGATCGGGAAGCAAACTAAGAAAGAAAAAGGGTGGGCATTTTTACATGACTCAATCTGTCAAAATGTTGATCAGATCCAGATTTGCATGTAGGCCTACAAGGTTTTTCATTCAAGCGGCAATATATGCAAGATGAGACTTTCAGTGGCAGAAACAGTTGGACACTACATTTTACACTTCAACTTGCGGGAAAAGAAAAGCAAGCTGTTGATGAACAATCAACTCTGGGTATTGCAATACACATTTAAACTAATCCCACAAGGGCTTTCTTCAACTCCAAATTCACAAAATGGCTCGAGAACACACATGCAACTTTAACTAATCAATACACTGGCATCAATAACTTTATTCATAGACTCGCTCTAAACACATAATATATGGCAGCCTGTGAATTCAGAACATTGCTAGATCTATGGATGAGCTGCAGTTCACAAAACTCTCTGTGTTTATGACGAATGTGCCTGCAAACCACATAATATGAGCGTAACATTACGTGTGATTTATATCTGTGTATAAGGCATGAGTTAGTGAGTCAGCATGCCTGTCTGATGTTTCAAAAAATGTGTGTTTGTGTATGAGAGTGTCTGCTCCAGAGTGAGTTTTATGGGAGAGATAATATTAAAGATGGGGAGGGTGAGTAAAGCAGAGAAATAGTTCTGAGGAATAGTATGAAAACATTTTCAGCACTGATGCAATTCATAGCAATTCTCTCAACAACAAAAATATTGCATGAGAATAATAGTCATTGGACAGAAAGTTACTCCATTACATAATCATATCTCACAAATGTAATATATAATCACCAACAGCGCTCAGGCACTAATGCACCAAGAGTTTATGTACGAAGAGTTCCCTATTATGTATGGTCCGCAGCGATATCAAGTAACAGACAGAGGTCAAAGGTGATAGAAATACTCATTGACAACATCACCCTCAAAACAAAGAGGGGCTCACATTTTGTTTAAAATATCACAGGAAAGAAATATCTCTGCTCCACAACACAGCAGCGTACACAACACATGCACTGGTTTGATGCTTTTTTTTCAAAGGTCATCAGTTTCTCTCAAGTCACGGTAAGTAGATCTACAACACTTGAAGGGCTTTGTGACAAAATGGTTTTTATCCCCAAAGATCGAACTTTCACAATTGTCCCTTTCCCTTTAACGAGTGAGATATTTTGCTTTTGCCTTTGCTGTACACAAAGCATGTTCAAACCAATTGTGTTTTAATTTTAAGCTACTTCAATCCACTTTTCCCTCCAGCAGCATACAGATGAGATGGAGAATCCTCAGCATTTTCAAAGTTTCTCACATCTTGGACATTATATGTTTTGTCACACAGCCCTTCACTTGTACGACGAAAAGATAAACTAATAACGACAACATTAAAAAACAACAGGAAAATAGCCGTTGGGTTAGTTAACGAACTGCTGAAATTAAAAGTTCATCTTTTCCTCTTACAGGTGTTGAAACCAGATCATAGCGCTCTACGTGACACAACTAAATAAAACAGGGGCATCTGGAATTTGTAGGCTACACATCCATGGTGTCTGTCACAAGCTGGCCAACTCTGGAAACGATCTCTTCACGGGAGACAGGAGTTACTGCAGGAGAATTATTTATGCTTGGGTCAGGGAGTCCGCTACATGCCATAACTTTGGCTGAGTATAACGTTGTGGACATGATGTACTTTCAAACTTTAGTCATTAACCCTATCCGTACGTCGTGTTTTACTATTGTATCCATACGACGCGGGGAACTATGTGCCACCACTTCCAAAGAGGAAGCTTACTCGTAAATCTGATCTGTACGCTTTGCATAGTAGTTTGTCAAAATGATTTTTTGAGAAATACTGAATGTTTCAAAGACTTCGTACTAAAAGTATTCTAAAATGTGAAGAATACAACCCTGGGGGTACAAAATGACCCCAGGGCGTACAGATAGGGTTAAAGAGTACTATAACCCCATTTTCTCAGTTACTATAGTCTCACTCTTTCGTGACATGACTTCTGCTGCTTTTGAGACTAGGAAAAAGAATGTTGACTTCTAACCCAGTTATGATTACTTTGTGAGACACACTACTAGTACGCCTTACAAAGTCCTGTGAAATAAAAAAAACCCCAACTCATTCATATTAAAAAATGGCTCAACAAAAATTGCCCTACATTGGTAATACAAATACCAATGACTGACATTTTTTCAGTCTCAGATTTTGCCAGCTTGCGGCAGACATCATTGATAAAAGTAATCATATATATAACAAATCATCCTGGTATGTACATCGATAGGAATTACTAATATAAAAATGGACACCTCTTATAAACAAGGAACAAATAACCAAATCAAGAAAAAAGACCAATCATTTAAGTGGGGAGACCACAACCCAAACATGTACCCAGAACTATTGCATTTGCCATTGCACAGTACAAGCTGTACATACCACCCACAAAGACGTGAAAAGGTCCTAAAAAAATTTACTTTACTGGACTTTCTGTACAGTCCAGCTAGAGAAGGCCATTACACTTACAGACCACAGCAGACAAAAGGAATTTTTAAAAAGTTTTCTATTTAATGCAATCCGCCCCCACTTCCCTTCCTCCCTTCAACACTGTACGGTTATATTTAAGAGATTGGATCTTTGAAATAAACGTTCATCTCCCAAAAGGACCAAATCAAGAAGGCACAGAGCTGTGGAAACTTCCTGAACAACTTGGGTTCAAGAGCTAATCATTGTGGATTCAAACCAGGGTAATCTGCACCATCGTGAAGCACAGTATGAAGTGAACTAAAGTGAGGGGAAAGCAAAATAGAGGAGAAAGGAGACGCTCTGAAATAAAAATCTTCACCAGTCAACTGAGTGTTTAAAAAAAGAAAGATACTTTGATGAACAGTGAGTCAAGGCAGGACGCGCATTTCGAAAATCTTTTATCTGAAAAATTATTTATAGCGCTGGGGAAAGAATGATTTCAGAAAGTTTAGAAAAGGCGTACAGACATGAAATTGTCTCTCAAGAGACCAGCATTTCCTGGGTAACCAGAAAAGCAGCATCTCTGCATCCAACTAGTTAAGAGTCTTGGGTTGTGGTGTTATTAGATGGTGGAAGCCCTGGACAACCAAAACCAGTTTCGGGAAAACTATTAAGGTAAAAAATAAAAAAGATATCGATCAGGGAATGGCAAATTGTGAGCTATCCATGATTTCCAGTTTTCTGTGTTTGTGGTATCTGTGCCCGACTATGCTTCCCAAAAAATAAACTCGGATAAAAAGATTTTTCAACAAAACATTTTACCCATATCCCCTCACCACAAAGTAGAGGAAACTGATAGACCATTTTCCTTGTCAAACTGTTCGCTCAACATCTTCAACCGATTCTATTGTGTTTCTCAGTGGGGTCTTATGTCCAAGGATGTCACTGGGCACAGGTAGAACTTGTGTACTTGACTGAACTCAATAGGTGTAAACACCCCTCAACCTCTTAATCCTTTCTTGTTTAACCCGGATAAAACAGCCCCC